TTTGGCTCAAGAATATGTACAATAGTACAGGGACTTTTACCCAATTTTGGAAAACTTTTAAAATCAATAAAAAATTAAATTTGATCAGAAACCCTGATGTACGTTGTACATGTACATGCATGTCACTCACATTGATAGGTGGTACAAGGTGAGGTAAAGTGTCTCTAAGACAAAGATGGTGTCTGAAGACATGAGAGGGAAAGAGAGGAGTCAGTGTATTGATGACACTAGCTCCATTGAACACTAATATCAATATACTGGTATCTGTAGAGCACCAGTTAAGGATAACATGTTACTAATAATAGATTAATATTACACAAATACATGTTACTAATTATAGATCAACATTATGTGTTACTATTAATAGATCAAAATTATGTGTACAGTACATGGTAGTAATGCTACTAATAATAATCAATATTACATGCACATGTTACTACTAATAGATTAATGATACATGTTACTATAAATAGATCAAAATGATTCTACTTATAAAATACATCAGACTTTCAATTACATGTACATGTATGTGTTACTATTAATAGATCAGAAATATAAGTCACCAACTAATTTACCAATAGAAATACTCAGTAGGTGGCAATGATGTGTTACTATTAATAGAATGTACATGTACATTATCATGTGTTACTATTAATAAATATAGATCTACCCAATTATTTAAATGTACATGTACATGTTAATGTGATGCTATTAATAGGCATACCATTACATCATCATTTGTTACTATAAATAGGATACATGCTGGATCATTAATATCAGGTTCCTTGCTCATGTAGTAAGGATGAATACTCAATAGCTCCGGAGCTAACACTGATACCAGATGAGCGTGATTCAGACCCAACTGCTTCAGACACGACCATATTGATAACTTATCTGACGAATAATTCCTTAAATTATCCAACAAACACTGAACAACAGACTGTAGGCCACTCCTACTGGTCACATGACTATAGGATAATAGATCATGAATGGCTTCTCTTATTTCCTATATGGGATGTATTAGGAGGTGGAGTCAAAATCAAGACATGCCCACTCACTAATGAAGACTCTTGTAGTACTCCTAGTATTGTCTCCAGTTGATCTTCTCTTAGGTTAATGGACTCACTCACCTAATGTCATCAAAATACATGTAATACATCACATGTAATTTATCGTACATGTAACATACATGTATACATGTACATGTACAAATACGTGTACTGCGGCCCAAACTTTTTGTATCAGTGTCAGAAAACTTTCTACTACAACATAATTTTAAAAAATACAAGTAATACCTTGTATGAACAATACATGTATGCACACATTTATGGCCCAAACTTTTTGTGAATATCTGGTAAAACTTTTGTGGATGCAAATTGGCCTATTATGGCTCAATAAAGAAGTAAAACTTTTTAGGAATTAAACTTTCCCATTTTCCAAAAAATCACAAAATAAGCAAAAATTTATGTACTGTACATGCATACATTGCATGTATACCATACCATCATATACAGTATAAGCTTAAAACCATACAGTAAGGCTAAACTTTAAATAGTCAAAAAATCCAATTTAAACTCTCTGCACAACATTTACATGCACATGGATCAGAAAACATTTTACTAATAATACAATTAAAAAATAACTTAATTTTCTGAGTGTCTTAAGAGCCAGTAGTCTAACAGACTGTATCTCATCATTGATCATGTCTATAAGGAAGTCAAGGGAGGCATGGCCAAACTCAGAGCTCCTCCCACTCAGCTGACCCATTGACTGTATAGCAGCAGATCTGACCTCCATGAACTCATCCTCAGTACAATGAACAAAAGCACCACAGGAACCAGAACTCATTAGAGTAACCTGAGAGGAGAGAGGGAGAGGGAAGAAGAGGGGTGAAACAAAGGGGGGGAAGACACAAACTTTATACAAATCAATTTCATATACATGTACATGTAGTCATGAATATCATGTATATAAATCTATAAGTATACAGAGATTTAAGGCCAGTAAAAAAACTGTAACAGACAGTAACATGTACATTTAGTATTAGAGAGAAAGAGGGACAAAAAGTAGAGGGAGATATATGTACAGTATATGTACATGTATTAATTGAAGTAGTCAATAAAAGAAACAGGATATTACATACATGTACATGTGGGGAAGAGACAAGGAAAGAGGAGTACTTAGGAGAAATTAATACATGTAACCTTATGTATATGTACATGTAAATGTATGAATATCTTAAATTATTATAATAGTACCTCAGATGGATCCAGGTTCATTTTAGTAGGGCCCCCTCCCCACCGTTGACCAGTGTCCCATGATCCTTGAGTGTGGAGCTCACGGGCTCTATCATGATCACTCTTCACATAACGAAGGTGAGACATTAGCTTCTTGTCCAGAGTCTGGAGTAGAAACCTTTCACTGACGCTAGTGAACTGGCCAAGGAGAGAAGCAGAGAGACAGCGTACCTGAAGGGATCCATCAGTTACCATGCCACACGTCTTTATGAATGCATCATCCTCTAATGATAGAGTAACACTGGGGTCCTTTGAATGAGGGATGGTACTATAAGAGGAGAGAGAGAGAGGGAGGGGAGGGAGGGAGGGAGGGAGAGAGAAAGAGGGGAGAAAGGGAGGGAGGGAGAATAAAAGGGTAGGAGAGAAGACAGAAAAGATTTTCAGAGAGAAAATAAAGGACAATCACAGAGAGAAAGAGAGAGTGTACAAAGAAAGGAGCGACAAATAGAATTCATTATTAACATCAAATACATGTATATTTGCATGTAGAAACATTATTGTACATTACATGCATAGTTACGTACATGTATGTCCACAACATTGATGTACATTACTGTCATTACATTAATACATTAATACACTAATGTACATGTAATACATTGCACATGTGTGAGAGATCATACCATGTACCTTTCCTTCAAAGAGAGTCCTAATGAATGAACTAGCTTGATAGAAATGTAGCGAACAGACTCATCATCATCATTCAATAACTCACACGCCTTATTGTATATAGACACACCAATGGATACACCCTCTTCCATCATCTGTAACTATAAGAGCATAATTATACAATGTACATGTACATGTATAAATGTACTAATATTATTAATACATATTAATAGTATTAGTACATATTCATATCACATATTAGTGCATATAAAGGTACAATTAAGAAATGGTATACATGTCTGTACATGCACAATTAAGAAGAGAGACAGAGATACAGAGACAAGTACATGTACATGCATAGATATAAGTAGGAATTAAGAGGCAAAAGGAGAGGGAATATGTACATGTACATGTATTGTGGAGAGTGGGTATTATTATATTATGTACATGTGCATTCATTGTACTTACTAGTGCTTTCATTGCTTCTCTACGGACTCTTGGATCAATGTCATTACAAAACTCAGTAATCAAGAGCAACAAGGCTTCATGACTGGGGGCCCTGTGGCTTAAGCGACCAATCAGATTCAAGCACTCCATCCGGAGGGTATGACTAGGAGAGTACACAACCTAACAATAAAATAATATCAATTTTTATAATAATTAAATTCACACGTACGGTACCTCAACAGTTTCTTTAAGACATTGAGTAACAAACTGATAAAATATTTATAAGAGGTATGACACATGTTAATATACATGTACATGTATGTGTAGAGAGAGATCTACAAGTATAACAATATCCATTATTTTACCTCTGATGAAAATTTCTTGGCCACTTTCACCCAACACTTTAACACTAGGGCCTTGACATCACTGGAAGCTAATTAATATTCATTACATTTAATTAATATATCAATTAATTAACCACAAACTTACGATGATCAATGAGTGATGCTATTTGGTTCTGCTGGTCGTGTGAGAGTGACGTAACTAGCAAAAGAACCACACAAAGCAAGTTAACGAGGAGGCAACATATTTCGATATTACTCTGACGAGTTTTCCATATTCGGTTAAATAGAGTTAGGGCCTCATCTAATGAAGATACTATACCAGAGTAGAGAGAGTCTTCAAGAAGTAAGAGTGTTTCTAATACGCTTTCCTCTTCTTCTGCTCAGTGTGGAAGCTTCTTCAAGCAGCAGGATGGGATCCTTTGAGTCTTTCTTTACGGTCTTAGAGGACTTGAGCTTCAACGTTACACCTTCCTCTTCTTCTTTCTCTCTCACTACTTCGAGTGTACTCACTGCGAGACTCACTGACTCTGGCTCTCTTCCTACTGCTTCTGACCAGTTTATGACCACGTGGGCCGCCAGGGCCGGGCTTATTGGGTACTATTATTGTGCGTGGGTGTTAAAATTATCACCCACCAATTAGTTTAGCTGCAAATTCATCTACTCTGTTATGCAATTAGTCTCAAGCTATGACAATATTACGTTATTCAATGGCAAGAATTTACTCTACGATAAAAGTGGACAGGTACAACTCCTATGGAGCAGAAATTGCCTTAATCACTTAAATTCATTTTTCCAACGTGCATTTAGCTCTATCATCTTAAGGACAGAATGATAAGCCACAACTGATAAGTGACAAATAATGTTGACAATTTGCTAACTTTGAAAGTATTAATAATTTATTGTTGCTGGCAGACCTATATCAAGAAATCATGAAGCATGCAAGTAGTTTTCTTTCAAATTCTATTTTAGACATGTGGATAATGCTTTGTTTGCATGTTTACATGTATATGCTCACCAGCCGGTCCTACCCCTTACAATGTCAAGATAGGAGTCACTGAATGAGAGTGGGAACTAATGACTGGGTATTCTTCCACCCTCAGTCTCCAGCTCAGTGTCGCAATTTATTAGTCGCATTTTAATAAGCAAGTAATTGGTTTTAATCAAAAATTTGCTAAAACAATGACAACTATAAGGTGACAAAAAATTTTGAAACAAAAAAAAAATACTGAGTCTTAGCATAATACTGTCAATTTTTACCAAAAATCAGCCAACTAACTAACTAAACTGTAGTAATCAAACTGTTCAGTTTTCTCATCATTTGACATACAACTTATAAAAGCTAACAGGAACATCTTCATCACCTAATCCCACAACATGTGCACACACCCTCAGCTCAAGGTAGTCAGTAGTGGCAGTGTAGAGTACCTTATTGAACCATGGAAGACCAGGAGCTGCACAACAATCACCTTCAAGACTACCACATCCTTTACCATCCCACAATGGATCAGATACATAAAGTATTGGTTGAGAAGAACCATCAGTAGAAGGATTACCAGATTCACAGAAGTAGTCGTTACCAATGAAAGACTGAAGAGTTGAGTTTTGAGGACTACCTTGAGAACAAGGACAATTGTAATGACCATCATTGCTACTTGGATGATAACTAGCTTCACTATAACCAGCCATTAGTGTCCAGACATGTTGACGAGGAGACCCATGAGTGATACTAACACCATCAACATAATAAGAATTAATGTCAATGTGATTAGAATCAATAACACTACCATATGTTTCATCTTGATATCTGCCTGGATATACTGCATCAGGTGTTCCCCATTGATATCCCACTACTCTACCACACACTTCAGAGTAACTCATACCATTAGATGGAAACTGAACTGATGTACAACTACCTACATTTGATGCTGCTCTACCACAAGCTCTAACTCCTCCTGACTGGTGCAGTCTAAACCCAGAAGGACAGTTCACTGTAGCATCAGTCATATCCAGATATCCTAGTCTTGTCCATCCTCCTCCTGAACCACACAGCTCCTCCATATTACAGTAAGTATGTTTAGTTCCATCATTAGTTGCCAGTAGGTATACACCAGAAGGACTTTTTGGCTGTTTGTTCTTAATCTCTTGACAAGAAGTAGGGATTAGAGAGAAGGAAGATGAGTCATTGTGTAACATGATATGGTCTTCCACTAGTAGCAGTATATCATTGATAACTCCAGCATTAGAGGTGTAATAACTATTATTGAACTTAGTAATTATTATGTATTATGTTTTGGGGTGTGTGACAGGGTGTGGTTGACTAGAGTATGGTTCTAACTATTGTGACTTGTGGTGTGTGTGTTCTATAATCTTTATCATTATCAATCGGATTACAAACGGTCCTTTTAATA